AAGTTTATTTTAATATTTGAGCCATTTTGTTAGACAGGATGCGAGTTGAGATGACTAGAAAAGTTCATTTGAACTAAATAAATGTAAAGTTCAAGACTGCTCAGCGCTGGGTCAGATATGAACAAACCCAACAGCTGGGTTAAAAACCTCATTTAAATTTGATAAAAATAAAACAGACAAACCCAAAACAAACCCAAACAGTGTGTGTGAACCCGCGAACATGTGTGGCGTGAGTGTGTTTTTGTGTGAGTGTGTTTGTGTGTGCGTGTTTGTGTGTGTGTGTGTGTGTGTGTGTGTGTGTGTGTGTGTGTGTGTGTGTTTCGGAATGATGCCCCCAAATGAAAAGTTTGGACTCACCAACTTTAGACGCGATGAGACTCCCGAATCCAGAAGATAACGATGATGATGATGATGATGATGATGATGATGATGATGATGATGATGATGATGTCCTGTGGTGTTTTCTTCGCGGCCTGTCGCTTCAGGTGTGTGTGTGTCAGAGATATGACAGATATGAAAGGTCTGAACAGAGGCTGTTATACTGTCTGTGTCTCTTTATATCTGCAGATAAACCCCTTATAGAGTTTCTGTGGATTTGAAACTAGAAGAAATCCGATTCAATTAACAAGCGCAGAATCCGCTTTACACACACTCATTTACATCCTCACGATCATAGCACAATAACACCGACACACACTGCACAACACACACACACACAAATACACACCTCATCTGATGATATACTCTCAAAAAATATATAATCACACTGATAAGAGCGATCAGAGAAGACAAACGGACAACACAAATGATCTGTGGGCTATATATCATCATCATCATTATTATTATCCTTGTCATTATAATTATCACTATTATTATTAATATTATTATTAATATTATTATTATTATCATCCTCATAAAAGGACATTTAAGCGAATATACTCAAAAAAATAGGTTATTTCAAAACAAATGTGGGTCAAATACGGACAAATACAAAATTGCATTCATTCATTCATTTTCCTTCGGCTTATTTTAGTCCCTTTTTTAATCAGGGGTCGCCACAGCGGAGTGAACCGCCCAAAATTGCGCTATTTATTCTGTTACATTTAAAAGACATTTTTTTAAACATGACAGTTGTGTTTTCCCATGTTTGGCCCAACACTGGGCACTTTTAGAGAGTAAATATTGATAAAACTGGCTATGAATTTAATAAAAAAAAAACTTCATATTTTACCCAATCTCGGTTTAAATAACGCAGCACTTTTAGAGTGTGAATTTCAGATTTTCGTTTATTTCTTTTAAACAGAATCGAAAACAGAAGGAAACCAATGTTTTAATCCAACGTTGGGTCAAATATGGACAAACTAAAAATTGCATAATGTCTTCAATTACATTTAAATTACACTATTTAACCCGAGAGTTGAGTTTGTGCATATTTGACCCACGATTTTACACATTATTTGTGTAATCGCATTTTTTTAAAATAGGTAGTCCAAGTAAATGTTTATTTTTTTTACAATCACACACTCTGAATAAAACAAACTGTTTTTTGCCCAACATTGGGTTAAAACAACCCATAATTAGTAAGTGAAAAATTATTAATATTTGGAATTCAAATCTAAGTATAGAAACCTCTTTTATTGTTTTTAAGGATCTCGGGGGTCTATAACAAATATAATCGACACACAAATGATGAATGTGAATTTTAGTAAAGAGTTATAATAAAGAGCCCAGAGAGAGATGGTGATGTGGATATTTGTGGGATTTATGGAAAACACTGGGTCCTTTTGTTTCTTTAATCCCTTTTAGACGCGCACACACACACGCACAAGCACGCACACACACGCGCACACGCACACACACACACACACTCCAATTATTTCAGTATTTTGCAGCGATGTGAAATAATGAAATGTGTTTTCGTGAGTTTGTAATCTGCTGTCAAACTAACGGCAATCAAACGCGGGAATCTGTTATTGATTAAACCGCATGATCATTAAACACATCTAGGCTACATTATACTTTTAATTGGATCGGTGATAATTATGCATGCATACGAGACTTTTAAGCTTTAATTGCTTCGTTTAGCGGTTAAATAAGTCTCTGTGTTTGACAATGAGAACTAAACAAGTCTGTGAAATAAAGTCGTATGAATTCTACGCAGTGGAACACATGCTGTATGAGTGGCTTATATACAAAACAATGAAGCCGACACAATGAGCTCATGAATTGAATGAGCAAATGAATGAGTAATAATCGATTAAGAAAGACTCTCAATTATTTTAAGCTTTCTTATAAACATACTTAAATAATCTGTTTTAAAAATGATTTTTTCAAAAGTCCAAATAAACAATCGCAAAATAAGCCAAATAAAAAGCCTTAAGGAACATGCAGAAATCTCAGCAAATCCACTGTATTGCACTGTACATTACTATTAATGATGTCGCATAATAAAAGGAAGCATTACACATTTGATTAAAGGTTTTGGCTACATGTTTCTTTGTACATATGTGACTTTCATATTGATTTCTAAGTGTGTTTTTCGGTGTTTTAGACTGCACACAAACATAAAGCATGCATGCATTTACACAATAAAAATACAGTAACTTATAGTAAATACTATAGTGTGTGTATTATAGTAGGCCTGTTTACAAATCTTTAATGAATGCTCCAGCTTAGTGAAATAATAAACTGCAATGAGAGATGTAGTCTACTTTAGTACAGAGTAAACTACGGTGTGTTGTACTGTAAATTACACTGTAGGCTGCCGAAAAAACATTGGTCTTTCTGGTATATTACTGTAGCTGTTGTGTTACCATAGCAACTGTAGAATCACCACAACAGATCAATTACGAAAGTTGTTTTGTTACCATAGCAACTGTAGAATCGCCACAACAGATCAATTACGAAAGTTGTTTTGTCACCATAGCAACTGTAGAATCACCATAATATATTACTTTAAATGCTTTGTTATAGATCAAAAACACTGCAGTCTAAAAATACTGGCCTTTTGTAACCCAGCATTGGGTCAAACATGGAATGCTGGGTTCTTCAGTTCGGTCATACCAAACATTGGGTAAAATCTGGTCCAAGAAATTTAGATAAAAAAATTAACCCAGCAGTTGGTTTAGTCCGCATTACACCCAGAATTGGGTTGAAATAACCCAGCATTTTTAAGCGCATATAATATTTGCCATAACAAAATAAAATTTTAGAGATTTTAAAATTTAAGATAAAAGAGAGTGTGACGTGCGCGCGCGCGTGTGTGTGTGAGAGAGAGAGAAAGAGAGAGAGAGAGAGAGAGAGAGAGAGAGAGAGATGAAGGAGGGGTTTATTGAGGTCTTGTCGGTCTGTAATTAGCCGCCTCCTCCTCCTCATTCATCTCACTGTCACCGGGAGACCGAGACACGCGCACCGAGCGCTCAGCCGCAGCACCGGACACACTAACAGACCGCTGATGAGCTCACACACACACACGATCAACACATACACACACTCGAGCTCGTCTACACGCTGCTGACTGATAGAAAAAGTCCATCAGAGACAGAAACACACAGAAAGAGAGAGAGAGGAGGAGAGAGAAAGAGAGAGAGAGAGAGTTTAGTCATGATGTCCTACATGAAACAGCCTCATTACTCCGTTAACGGGTTGACTCTGTCCGGTACCGGGATGGATCTCCTGCACTCCGCCGTCGGTTACCCTAGTAAGTATTCTTTTACCTCTCCGTTCACTCTAAAACATGCTGGGTTATTTAAACCCAATTCTCTGTGTAATACGGACTAAACCACTTGCCTGGGTTACTTTAATTAAACTATTTTTAGGACTATATTTAACACAATGTTAGATTTGTTAATATTTTACCTGATGTGTCTTTAAATAACCCAGCATTTCTTAGAGTGTTCACTGCTGATGTGTTTGATATTATTATATTAATGAGGGTTTAAAGGATTGTGCAGTCTAAAATATGGACTCTTATGACCCAATTTTGAGTCAAAAACCCAATCTTTGAGTTCAAATGTGTAATTTAAATTAAAATTAAAATGTAACCAAGTTATGAACCAAGTTATGAACCAAGTTATGAACCAAGTTCGTCCATCTCTGATGCAACATTGAGTAAAAACATTGATCAGAGTGTGTGCTGAACTGTAATGATGATGTATGTTGTTTTATTAGTTTTTAATGCAATTACATTTCTCATATTTGTGTTGAGTGATTTATTTACTTCTAATTTAAATGTTTTATATGTGTTACGAGTTATCCGTTTTTAAACGCTGTTTTAACCTAATGTTGGGTCAAGCTTAAAAAAAACTACCGTTCAGTTAAAACAGTGTATTTAATTTAAATGTATTTACAAGCTTTAACCCAACTTTTGGTTGTCACTAATTGACCCATCATTGAGTTAAAACAGCCCAGCATTTTTAAGAGTGTGCGCAGAACTGTAAAGATGCGGTATTTTGTTTTATTCGTTTAAGATCTAGAAGAAAATAAAGAAACAATTCTCATTACTGTGTTGTGTGAATTTTATATTTCCAATATAAATGTTTTATACATATTATGAGTTATCTTTTTTTAAAAGCTGGGTTGTTTAACCAAAATTTTGATCAAATAATGAACAAACCCAATGCTTTATTAATTTCAATTTGATTTAAGTTATAATTTTAAGCAAATAGTTTTGTCATATTTGATCAGCCGTTCAGATTAAACAACCCAGCATTTGTGCGCGCGCGTGTGTGTGTGTGTGCGCGCGCTTTTGACAATAAAAACATTTTGCATTGCGCAGCTCGATTATTACCTCTAATTTCTTTAATGATTTTAATCGAAAAGTTTGTAAATTAAACACATTATATTGGGTTTGGCACTTAAGTATTTCGTTTAAACAATTGATTTTAAGTTAAAAAATAAACATTGAAATGAGCATCAAAATGTGACAAGTAATATTGAGAATTTCAATGACAGCTTAGTGCAAATATTTAATATATAGAGATATAAAAACTGAAGCGTGCGATTGAATGAACATGTTAATAGCGCATTTCTAATTATGAAGTGATTAATTTCGTAAAAGGTCTAATGGATTGATGATTTCAGAGATGCGAAACAATTATAATCACACATCATTGATTAGTTCTGCTGTTTAGATTAAATAATGCGAATATTACGCATAATTCCTTAAATTATTCAGATATTCATTCAAATATATAAAGTTTAATTTGCATTTAAAAAAATCAGGTTGAGACATGCAGTTATAATGCAGCTGTTTAGTCACATTCATATAATAAAATATGTTGCTTTGACAAATACAAGGGGAAAACATCTTAAAAGGTGTAATATAAATGTAATTAAGATGATAGATAGATAGATAGATAGATAGATAGATAGATAGATAGATAGATAGATAGATAGATAGATATTTCTCTTGAAACTTCCAATCGAACAAGCTTTTTACGAAATTAATCACTAAATAATTTGAAATGCGCAATTAAAAATGTTCATTTAATCGCACATTTCGGTTTTCATGTTTCTCTGTTAAATATTTGCATTAGGCTGTCATTTTCGAGAATTTATTGAAAATATCTATATTAAAGCTTACATTTTGGTGCTCATTTCAATATTTATTATTTTGACTTCTAACTCGATTCCTTTAACGAAATAAATCAAAGTGCTAAACTCAATTTAATGTTTATAATATTATACAAACGTAATAGCTTTCGATAACAATAATAAAAAGATTTAATAATAATAATAATGATAATGATAATAATAATAATAATAATATAATAATAATAATAAAGATAATAAGTTAATAATCTTGCTCAGCAATGCAAAAAAATTGTTGTCAAGAGTACACAATTTTGGCCCAATTTGTACACCATATTGGACGCAAATATGCGTTAAAACAACCCAGAAATGATGAATTATTCGTCTGTTTTTCAGACACTCCACGGAAACAGCGGCGCGAAAGAACCACCTTCACGCGTGCGCAGTTGGACGTGCTGGAGGCGCTGTTCTCCAAAACCCGATACCCGGACATATTCATGAGGGAAGAAGTGGCTCTCAAGATCAACCTGCCCGAGTCTAGAGTCCAGGTGAGGCCAAGTCTTTTTTTATTGTGATGTGTAATAGTGTGCAGTGCTGTATATTGTGTGTGTTGGTGTTACATATTACACTACAGAAACCTTGTAATAAACTGCAGCACATTTACTGCTATTCTACACACTTACTTCTCTAGATATTATTTATTATATTATTTAAAACCACTAAAATGTCAATAAAAGTCTCTTTGTTAAACTGTAGAGTTAAATGTTCATCATCAGAAGTGGACAGAGCAGAGATCAACATCCCATAATGCAATTCACCACTGCAAATAAACACAAAACACACACTATACTGAAGAGACTGATCATTACAGATATTTTGTACAGTCCATGCATTAGAATGTGTCCTGGATAACTGTATTAATCAAACATTATTATTCCTTTCCCAATGTAACGATCATTTTTACATCCAAAACCCGTCATATTTAGATAAAGAACTATTTTCTGTCATTACAGGACTTACAATATCAAAGTTTGTTTAAAACACTCATTAACCAACATCTGAAATGTGTATTCTTTGCTACTATACTTCAAAAACACGCCATTTTACATATTTAAGATAACATAATTAATATTTTACACTCAATCACATTTTGTCTGATCAATTAAATAGAACTGATGATGGCTAATAAATTATTAGAGAATAATACACATGTGATGTAGTAATAATGACGTAAAGCAGAGCACATTATTCTCCAATAATTCTCCATCCTGGTGATTATTGCTCCTCTCCACTGCTAAATCCACTGTTGAGATGTACTTGAGAGTGTGTTAGTCAGGTGTGTATCCTCCTCAAGCGTCTCCTGTGTGTAGCACTAATGTCCTCCATATCTCCTCCTCCTGTCGTGTTCTGATGTGATTTGTGACTGTTATAGCTGTGAAATAACTCACAATATCATTCAGCGGAGTGATATGCAGCTGTAATTACCTTGCTTAAAAAGTAACTAACACTTTAAGTTCAACCAATCACAATCAAGCATCGAATGGATACATTGTTTCATTCGGTTACACTGAATGGACATTTGACCAATCAGATTTAAGCACTGAATGGATACATTGTTTCATTCTGTTACACTGAATGGACATTTGACCAATCAGATTTAAGCACCGAATAGATAAGATATTTCATTTGGTAACACTGAATGGACATTTGACCAATCAGAATGAAGTTACACTCAATGGACATTTGACCAATCAGAATCAAGCATCGAATAGATTCATTGTTTCATTCGCTTACTGAATAGACATTTGACCAATCAGAATAAAATTACACTGAGTGGACATTTGACCAATCAGAATAAAATTACACTGAGTGGACATTTGACCAATCAGAATCAAGCGTTTAGTGGATACATGGTTTCATTGTGTCTCACTGATTATCTGACACATTACAGTACTGCAAATTCAATCTGATCTCCTGTCCGTCTGTTTTAGGTCTGGTTTAAGAACCGTCGTGCCAAATGCCGTCAGCAGCAGCAGCAGCAGACCAGCGGTCAGACCAAACCCAGACCACCCAAGAAGAAGTCTTCTCCGGCTCGTGACTCCAGTGCCAGTGAGCCCAGCGCCAGCACCAGTGGCCCCTACAGCCCCCCACCACCCCCGCCTGGCACCGCCATCACCCCCAGCTCCAGCAGCGCCACCGTATCTATCTGGAGCCCGGCCTCCATTTCTCCACTGCCCGACCCGCTGTCCGCCCCCAGCACCGCCTGCCTGCAGCGCTCCAGCTATCCTATGACCTACAGCCAAGCGCCGGCCTATGGGCAGAGCTACGCCGCCTCCTCATCCTACTTTACAGGCCTGGACTGCAGCTCGTACCTGTCCCCAATGCACCCGCAGCTATCAGCCAGCGGGGGCGCTCTCAGCCCAATGAGCGGAGCCCTCAGCCAATCGCCGGCCTCGCTTTCATCTCAGGGTTACACCGCCGCATCACTGGGCTTCGGCGCCGTCGACTGCTTAGATTATAAAGACCAGACGTCAGCCTGGAAACTGAACTTCAACGCCCCAGACTGTCTGGACTACAAGGACCAGAATTCCTGGAAGTTCCAGGTGCTGTAGGCGGAGCTTCAGATAAAAAAGGCGGAGTTTAAGAAACGCATTCGTTTAGAAACTACAGAACTTTCTGTGCAGTTAAAGAGTGGGGGTCTCATTTATAAACCTTGCATAGAAACCTTATTAATAGTGAACGTACAGCTGAATATGTTTAATTTATTTTTAATTATTATGACTTTATGGTCATATATGATGATTAAAGTTGTTAAGTCAACATTTAAAGTTAAAATAGTTTCCTTGGAGTCTACTCACAGCTGCGCACATGCTCCTGTTCAGTTTGTTTTTAATAAAATCAAACTTTTGCCTGTTAAGTGGAGTACGCTTATTTGCACCTCTGGTTTTATTTTGCATACGCCATGTTTATAAATAAGACCCCAGGTCATGTGGTATTCTAAAAGAAAACACTGAGCTTCTAGAAATTTGCTCATGACTGTTTTTCAAACGATTTGAGGCTTAATCAGATTATAAAGACCAGACCTCAGCCTGGAAACTGAGCAAAAAGGGCATGAAATCACCAAGAGGCGACACTCTAGTGCAGTTTGGGAAACAGCCACTAGATGGCGCGGCGGCTATTTTTGGAATGAAAACTCCAATAGAACGACAGCATATTATAAGTCTGTAAAATAAACGATTAAAAGTGCTGATGATTGTGATGGTGAGTGTTGTATTGTCGTCTTTCAGGTTGTATCTCAGCTTTAATGCACTTTTTAAATAAATAAACAAAAAACAAAGCAGCTGCTCGCCATCGCGACAGCAAAAAGAGCCAATGGACAGCCGACCACTTTTACTCCAAAACGGCGGAATCTGGAGCTGTTACTGGGCGCTGCTGTTCCCATAGAACATTCTGTTGACTGTCGCCTCTTAGTGATTCTAAGCTCTTTGACTGAACTTTAACAGCACAGACTATCTGGATCACAAGAACCAGAATTTCTGGAAGTTCCAGGTGCTGTAGGCGGGGCTTGAGATAAAAAGGCGGGGTTTAAGTAACTTATTTGTTTCAGAAACTAAAGAACTTTTTGTGCAGTTAAAGAGCCGGAGTCTCATTTATAAAAGCTTGCTTATTAATAGTCAACATACATGTGAAAAATACTGGGATCCAAACAATTGATTAAACAAAAAACAAAGTTACTGCTCATTATTTAAGTGTACGGCAGAATATTCATTCTCTTTTCAGCTTAGTCCCTTTATTAATCAGAGGTCGCCACAGCAGAATGAACCGTCAACTCATCCAGCATATGTTTTACACAGCGGATGCTCTTCCAGCCGCAACCCAAACACCCATACACTCCTGCATTCACACTCATACACTACGGCCAGTGTAGTTGATCAGTTCCCCCTATAGCGCATGTGTTTGGGCTGTGGGGGAAACCAGAGCACCCGGAGGAAACCCATGCCAACACGGAGAGAACATGCAAACTCCACACAGAAACACCAACTGACCCAGCCGGGACTTGAACCAGAGATCTTTTTGCTGTGAGGCAATCATGCTACCCACTGCGCCACCGTAACACCCTTACGGCAGAATACATGATTATGGCTCACATATGATGATTTAAAGTGGATCCGTTAAGTCAATATTTAAGGTTAATATGTTTACTCAACACTGTTTAATAAAAACGCTGGGTTCAACACAATCTCTTCAACTTAGATTAACATACGTTTTGTTTTGTACAATTTTAAGTTGACTGAACATCAAACAGTTAAGTTGACCCTAAAATGTGCAATTTTAGCTCACTTTAAATAAGTAGGCTGAACATGCAGCAACATTATTTTCAGAGTGCTTACAACTGCACACATTGCCCTGTCCACTTAGATTTTGTAATAAATCACTCTCTTGTCTCCACTTTCGTTTTCTGCATACG